GAGAGAGAGAGAGAGAGAGAGAGAGAGAGAGAGAGAGAGAGAGAGAGAGAGACATGATGGGAAAAGAAAAATCTACATAAGAGGAACGTACGCGTCGGACTTATACCGAGCTTAAAATATTTTATGGTCTTGCCGACAATCGACGGCGACATCGTGGTTTCGTATATTATGATAATAACTCTCACTCGCAGTTTATAAGAATAAACGCAGGATGACCTGCATTAGTCCATTGCGCCTTGCTGCAACAAAAGGGTCAATTATAAGGAACTCAGCGGCGATCTGTTCTGCGAAATTAATATTCCACATACACACAGAAAACACATAGAGAGAAAAAAAAAGAGAGAGAAAGAGACTCGTACAGGCAGAAACGAAAGCACACACACATGTACACACAGTTGGTGATTTGAAATCGAACGGCACGTTGCCGTGACACCAAGTATACAAAATAAAAAAAAAAACGATAAAATTTTTCAGAATAAATCCCTGATGATTTCCTCTGATTCATCCGCTTCTTGCAGGGCAGAAATATTTAGAAAATTAATAGGTACCATAAAATGTTTTACACACAATTTAGTGGTATAAACGCCTCTCTGGGGGATACGTGAAGCAACTTGTTTCTCTTACTTATAATTTCCTCTCGCGACCTCTATAGTTTTTACGCGATAATACGACATTGTAGGCCATTTTTCATATTCTGCTCATGAGACACGATTGCGCACGTCTTACTTCGCTTTATCTCTTAATTAACAAACAATTGAGGGTCCGTTGCAGCGACGAGCTCAATTAATCGCGTCCGATCAATGCCCGCCCCGCTATTACTTCCCAAATTTCATGGCTCTAATAATAATAATAATAATAATAATATACCGAATTTGTTGTATATTTCCTATTACTAGTAGAAAATAACAATTTCTGGACTTTCAGAACAAAAATGCCCAAACGATCAAGTTTAAAATTTTTCTTCTTCTACTTTCTTTTAGATGAAGCCCACTTGAATTCAATCACGCGTGAACACTGCATCGGTTTGTACTTTTAAGATGTGATTAGCAGCTTAACATCTTCTTAAGGTGCTAATCACATTTAGCAGCAAAATATTTATAAAACTCCAATCGTAGACATATACTGATATATTAATATAGGTGTCGAAGTCATCTATTCCCGTATATATCTTTCTTTTAATTTGACTAAGAGAAACGGCGATAATTGCGTAAGATATCGTTTAGAAACAAAATTTCATTGATAACGAGTGTCACGTTGATGCAACGGGCCCAAAGAGATCCGCATTATCGATGCGACGCTGGTCTCCCGAGACGTTGTAACACGATCTTCGATAAGTTTAGATCAGTCTTAAATTCGAATGCATATTGTACAATACTTCTCATTTCGCTCTGCCTAACTCGAAGGCGTGCAACTCGTCAATACACAACGTTGTTAACAATATTGTAGTATAATATAATTATAAATAATAAAACAAAACGAAAAGAATAATTAGAAATGTTAAAATGTTATTGAATTGTTGTTGATTTTGCATGAATTTTACGGCTTGCGCCCACGTTCTCTTTCCCAACACTCAGACGTACACGTGAACATAGATATCCGCGTTGTTGCTTATCTCGCATTATCAAAAATAACATTCGTATATGATATACAGGAAAATGTGAATAAATCTAATTTCAATATAAGTACAAAGTATTAAGTAACATACAAGTAGTAAGTAAAGTTAAATCTATATTAAATTTAGAATTAAAAAATTAGCTCAATGATAAGTTTAAGCTACACAAATGCTAGACATTGTCTCGCTACTTTGCGAAAAGAACTTGATGCAATAGAAAAAATAAAAGCATTGTCAAGCAAATAAAATGTGTTCTCTTTCATGTAACTTAAAGATTAGATCACTACAAATGAGGAACACGAAAGATACGTCGCGTTAAATATATACACATTTTATTTGCAATATAATACACATTTATCTCTTAAAGGGGCCTCTCGCAAGCGTGATTACAATTGATTACGTCACGCTCGTCTTCGTTACCCTCTGAATGATTGATCTAAACTTTCTGTGTACGAACTATTTAGTAGAAACTCTGGTACGTTTGTCCCAAGAGAAGTTCATCCCGTAAGTGCGCGGCTTCGGCTGATTCACATTCGGCTTCTGAATGTAGTAGTCCCATCCCATCTTCTTGCAATGTGCAATTGCCTCTTCCTGGCTGGTAAAGTCAACATTGATGTTTGACATGGGATCCCCACTGCATAATAGGAAATTTACAATATTATTCATATCTGAATGTGAGAATGCATCTGAATGGCTGCATGCAACAGGGAAGATTGCTTTGCAACTGTCGTAAAATTTGTGAATCTGATCGATACAAAGTTACACACTCTCAGGTTCAGCCAAGATTAATAGCATACACCAACTGGATACACGAATCTTGCAACAGTTACAAAGCAACTTTCTCTGCTGAATACAAACAGCATTAATACTTACGAGGAAGTCCATCCCATCAATGGATTCTCCCAACGCTCACGTGTTTCAAAATCTATTTGCCAGAAGTGAATATTATTTGTTCCAGATTGCATAGCACTCTTGGCAGGCTGATAAATCCGTACTCTACGAGTCTTGATGTGTTCCTCGGGAACCCCGGATACATAACCAATGTCTTCATCGACACTCACGGTAATGGTGCTCTTTACAGCTTGCAGATATTGTTTCTCATCGGCAGAGCGTAAGACGTCCTCGAGATTTTTGCGTTTCGCTATATCGGGCACTTTCCCCAGTTCTTTGGTCTTACTCGAAAGCATCCTGATTATTCTGCACACAGAGTTTCCTTGGAATAAAACTTTAGGCACATTACAACATCACACTACAAACCATCTTTCACCTCATTATTTATTACTCGAAACTTATAGTTTTGTTAAATGACGTTTTGTAATTATATAAATCTAATATTAACATTTGTTAAGTATCTATCTTTTCGTATTTAGTTGCCTTCAACCAGAGTAATATTTGTTATGTAAAATTGTGAGGTTATGAGCGTTTGTTTTCCCCTTCAGATGGGACATTCATTCACAAAACAATGCAAACAATGCAAGAAATTTACGTACCCAGGATTATTTTTGCTAATCGCACCCGCACATTGTTGTAATAATGCGCGGGATGCCATTTCGTTCGAAGAAGGTAACAAATGATAAATCCAATACAAAACAGATGATCATCCACAAACTTCGGCCAACGAGTTTCGGCAAAACTAGTTCGCTCCGTCGCCGTTGTGTGTCGCATTCAGCGATTTAGCGCGCTTTTCGAGAGACGTTACAAGCCGTATAAACTGGCGCATCGCGCGCGAATCCAATAGAAAATATTCTACGGAAATCACAAGAAATAAAAGAGAACTAGTGAAAGAGGTATATCATACACACACATAAAAGGTGTAGAAATGAATATCTCAATCGAATGAATTTTGTTCAAGAAAATCGTATCTCAAAGAATTAGAACTAAAAGTAATTTGGAAAACGTCCTATACATCACGAAATAGGTGTGGAAATGTACACGGATTTCACTTAATCACGTAGCAATTCTGTTTGCATGAGGATAAGATTACCTGCGATCGACAGGACGGAGATAGAAGGACGTTTAAAAAGAGCCGAGGTCGTTAACGAGGCGAGAGAATTTCCGAAAGCCTATACTTTCGCACGTCATAAGAGTTCGCGTGACGATCGATCGTCACCAGATAAGCGAGACTGACCTACCCTTAACGATATCAACGAATGCCGAGCGAGTGTACGCATGCTCGACGTCATTCGACTCCTTCCCTTCAGGAACTGCATCGTGCAGGAACGATGCCTGGCGAGTGACGCCGCGGCGGACAAATGCAGCTCACGGGGACCCGCCAGCCTTTCGCCGCATTTTGCATGTAATCCGGAATCGGGGGCAAAGTGGTGCTGCACGAGAGGCGAAAATGAGGGAAAATGTAAGTGAGTAAACGCGCGCGAATAATCTCGCAGGAATTTCGATATCGCGATATCCCAGTCGACGGGTATCGCGTGGTGATGAATACACAAAAGCACGCGAGTCGGAAGGTGGATAAAATGAGAGACGTGCATTTATCGCCAAGTCCCTTCGTGAATTTATCTCGACTGGAAAACACCCAAATCTGATCAAGGCATCAAAGAAACAAGATCTCGCGAGGAACTCGCGCATAATAGGAGGAAGAATTGACGAGGAACCGTTTTGCAAAATTGAGTTCTCCTCTTTGAAATCGAGTACGATCGCCTCGACTTAAAGTACATCGAGAAATTTGTGAATAATGTGTTTCTCTTTTGCAGGATAGAGCCACGTTATGTTTCTTATTGATATTTACGCTGTGCACGAGAGTTTACTCGGCTAACGCCAGGCACATAATCACCAAGCGAAACTACAGTGACCAAAGCGTAAGAGGATATCTAGCGGAAGTAGGTATCTCGGGACTTGCTCTTCAAACGTGATATTGTAACTTATCAACTCAGTTAACACACAGAATTAAAAAAGAATTCAGTCGTATGTCACCAATTCTGAGTTCATTTTCAGATGTAAAAAGAATTCTCCTGAGTTCAGTTCAGTGAAAAGAATTCTTTTTGTATCTAAAAATAAACTCAGAATTCAGTCGTATGTCACCAATTCTGAGTTCATTTTCAGATGTAAAAAGAATTCTCCTGAGTTCAGTTCAGTGAAAAGAATTCTTTTTGTATCTAAAAATAAACTCAGAATTGATGATATACGACTGAATTCTTTTAGAATTTTCTGTACTATCTGGGAAACTCTTGTTGGATCTGTGAGGCCCAAACAAATATCCGATCGATTATCGATATACAGGAAATTGTACAGAAGATCGATATACAGAAGATTACTAGAAAATTAGCAGAGAACTTTCAGGGAAGGTCCGAAAAAGTTATGTCTGAAAAATTGCGCAAATCCGCTCGCAGATTCTCATTTTATTGCGCTATTAATAGCTGAGTCTTTTCTATATCTCTGTAAAAGGAGTGTGCCCAAAACTATTGATTTTGAACAAAGCTATAGTAATTCAAAGTTGTTCGGGTCTGACAGGCTGAGATTATACCGTATGTCTAAAAAAATATCATAGTACGCGGAAGATACGTTAAGTAAAATTATACTTACGATTAAAAAAAGTTAAAGAAACCTATAAACCTTGATAAAAGAAAAAACACATTGTTGCAGTTAATAATAAAACAAGAGAGAAGTTTTACACATTCTGAAATATAATTAAAATCTCTATTTTACAAGTCTATAATTTTAATGAATTCTCTATGATAGAGTTATACAGAAGCAATCGTGACGACAGCTTAAGAAAATTTATAGAATACATGGTAGTGAATTTGTATCACGCAGTTGATTTGTATTAAACAGTCACGGTTTAGTCACGTTAGAGTATCGTAAGGGAACACTTTTGATCATATCCACTTACGCCACTAACTTAAACGTTTCAGAGGACCTGTTGGTGGAACGAAGTGTGCAAGGAAGAGTTTCACAGTAAGTTCCGATGTCGTTGCCCGAGGTGGTCCTATTGTCGTGCACCAGGAAGATATTATGACGCACATTGCAGTATGACACGCACAGGCTATATATGGACCCAACCGGAAACATCGTTGAGCCTTGAGATCGATAAATGAATGGCACTACCCCGTGTGCCGCAAAAGAAAACAGGTAAATACGATAGAATTTATTAAAAACTGCGCTCTACGTGATTACAAGTCGCGTTGCAAATTTTGAAATTGGCAATCAATGTCAAATTTATTTTTTATCCTATATATTTTTTAATTGTCCTCCTCATACCGAATATATAACACAAAGATGGAGCAATTCATAGTCCCATAAATGAGTACGCATTTTAAGTGAATTTTAAAATAGAGTAAATAAGACGCAATTTATTGTAATATTATGAAGGGGAGAAAGTGGTCTTAAAATTGATCTATACCGAAGTATTTTATCATATTAATCAGACGCTTTCAGTCTCTTTAAAAACTTCTTTTTCCAGCTGATATTAATTCGATGATTTGTGTTTTATAGGGACGCCAATACGGAATCAAATCTCATTCATTCAAAATCAAAATCTACGATTACGCACGACGATCATTACGGTTTTCGTAAATGGTTGATTCACCGGTTAAGACATGGCACGACTTCGTTTCGAATGTAATTTTCTATTAGCAGCTTCGCTTGGGGCAAAAAGGAGAACGTCGCACGATGAGTGTTAACGAGAGTTCAGAAAGCAGTTTCGCATGCAGAACACTCAAATTTGACTGAGAGCAATATTATTTCTGTCAGTACATCTACGAACACTTATGCTGCCATGAATTTACAACTACTACGTTATAAATAAACTCTCATTGTGATCGCTATTAATAAAGTTCTGATGGAGTAATTTTTGAGGGAATTCATCATTCGCAGCTGTGTCATGTAGATTATACTTCCAACGCGATTATTGTGTTAACTAAATAATAACGACACGTTGTTACATCTCTTCCGTCGCACAAATACAGTTCCCGCAAGTAACGCAAATTTATTTGACACACTTGTTTCTCGTGATACAGGTACAATACAAATGACGCTCGATTCTTCAGCGTGAAACGTTCATTTGAATGCGGTGTTGACGAGTGTGCGTACCTGGGCCGGACATTGCCACAGATTACTAAGTTATTGATTACCCTGTGAAGAGATAAAAACTCTGACGTCAACGGTTTCCAGGATACGTCACCCAATATTCCTTCCCACTTTCCTGGGATAGTGACCAGGACATCTGCGCGCGACTATCGATCGGCGTCTACCTGTCGGATTGCGCCGACGGGTCCTTCCTCGCGATCCTAAGTCAGACGCAGTTGATTTTAAGCGGTGCCGGGTGTAACAGCTGCCACTTATCCAAACGTTCGCATACTTTTTGTTCTCATCAACAGAATCTCGCTTGTTTATTTTCACGTTCTGCGTCAAGATTGAAACAGCCAATGTGTTCGATTCGATTTCTGAGTCAACAAATTTCAATTTGTTATATTTATTAAGTATATATTTATTATTTATTAATTTCAATTTGTTATATATATATATATATATATATATATAAGAGAGAGAGAAGAAATTACTCATCAATCAAGTAATCACCTTTGTTTATAATTTTTCACCATGGTTCTGGCAGAATTCATACAACTAAAAGATGTTTGGGAATTTATCATCGAAAAAGCAGGAAATCGAATCAAACTTTTTGGCTGGTTCAATTAGTTATAGTGAAACGACGCGAATTGATACTGCTGTGTAAACGGAATGGCGCATTAATTCTTCTAGATTGTATAACTAAATTTGCTATCGAGCTCGCTATTATACTATTCTGTTAACTTCTACACTAAAAAATCTTATGTACACAGTACGTAAATAAATGTTCCAAAAAGTCTACTCTAAATTTTGTGTCGGAAATAACTCATTTATATGTTCATTCATATGTTATTTATATTATATACTAGTCTATACATAATGTAAATAACATACGAATGAACATATGAATAAATTATTTCCGACACAAAATTTAGAGTGGGCTTTTTGAAATATTTGTTTACGTACTGTGTATGCAAGATTTTACAGTGTGATATTTTACAGTGTAATATTCTGAATTTTTTTGTTTTGCCAGCATCACACATACAATACATGAACAATTAATCGATTTTCCTCGAACTTGTTGCATCAACTGCGAAGTTGCGCTCGAAAATTGTGACAATTTAAATTCGACGGGCGCCTGCGCGTGCTATCGATTCAACCCTTCTCGGGTTGGATACACTCAGCTGCGAGACTTACGAAAGAGAAGAGAAATCATGGCGGATTGGTTCGATCAGTTGGTGCGATTTCTTTTGGCGTTTGTAATAGTGTTATTTAAAGGAGCCACGTCCGACATCGACGACGAGGGCTTCAATGAAAATCATTATGGCAAGTTCGACGGACTCTACAACCCCTTTATTGTATGTATATATTGTATGTATATAAGCAACTGTTGTGTAATAAGTCGCATTGTTTATTGTTAACGATAAAAATTATTGTGTTGAAGACAATAATATACAGACAAAAGTTATGTGAAACATAATTCTGATATTATCTCACAAAGATCGCGAATTGTCGCAATGTCTATACAGTACGAGAATAAAAAACAAAAATAGCTACGTCCTGACAATAAATTTACAATTAATTGTGTCATGACGCAGGATCAATTTCCGGACTCTCACGAGGCACCGTTACAACCGACTGAAAATCACGTCTGGCGAAGCCCCGAAAATCTCGGCGAGATTTCCGGCGTCGCCGTGGACCCGTCGGGAAAACTTGTGATTTTTCATCGCGCAGATCGAGTATGGGATTATGAGTAAGAGATACACCGATTAATTAATGAATAGAAATCGAAATTGCAGCGATAGGATAACAAAAAAGAAGCGAAATTTCTCAAGACTAAAAATATCTATTTTCTTTATGTTATTTTTTAATATATTGTAGTATTATATTTAATATTATAATTTTGTACTATAAATATGTTGGAAGAAATTCTTTGATCTTGCATGCCTCATTGATGGTTTTTTAGCACCTTCAACGAGAACGCGGAATACCAAGAGAAGTACAAAGGTCCTATTCGTGATAATGTCGTATTGACATTGGATTCAAACACTGGTGATATTACTCGCGCTTGGGGAAATCAAACGTTTTATCTGCCTCACGGAGTTCACGTCGACAGCTTTGGAAACATATGGTTGACTGACATCGCACTCCATCAAGTATTCAAGGTATACAGAGAAGTCCATATTGCATCACTTATTAAAATACGATCAAATACCAATTTTGTCGGTATATTATATATATATATATATATATATATATATTAAAAATGTGTGCAAACATAAACAAACTTTCGATAAAATAATTTAATAAAAAAACTAAGAATATCTTATATTTTTTTTGTTATTCAGCAAAAAAACACGTTAAAACGTGTTACTATATTTTTTCTCATCAATTAATTTTTGTCAAAAATATTTTGGCAAGGGCTAATTGTATTCGTATAACTCACAGTACTCAGCTCACGGTGTACCCCGGCTAGTCCTTGGCCAAAGATTTGAGCCTGGAAGTGATATGGATCACTTTTGCCAACCTACGACTGTCGCGATTGCACCAGGTGGCGAAATAGTCGTAGCGGATGGTTACTGCAACAGTAGAATAATGCTTTTTGACTCAAAAGGCAACCCCAAATATAGTATCGACGAACGTATGTTTATAATATAATTGATATTAAATTTAAACTGAGAACTTAATAATATTAATATATATCCAGTTAATATAAGACTCGAATATACAAATCACAAAAGCGATAGAGAAACAATTTATTGCATTTACTTATTATTTCTCTTTTCTAAATAATTTCAAAGTGATGAATAAAATTAATTTATTTACACTTAGATTGGGTGTCTCTAAAAATTCCGCACGCCTTGACAATCTTGCCGAACAGGCAAGTGTGCGTGGCCGATCGCGAAAATTCGAGGATCGTGTGCATGAACGTCGAACTTTCCGGAGCGAAACAACATCCCGAATTTCCATATTCGATTCATCATCCGCATTTTGGCCGCATCTTCGGTATCGCGTCGTACCGTAAGTGATTTAACGAGGAAAATCCAAAGTTTTATCATCACCTTGTACATATTCAAATATACGTAAGAAATTAGTTAATTCAAGACACTAACTGAAAATTTTCATTACTATTAATAATTCAAGGTGGAATCATTTATGCTGTCAATGGCATGACGTCCAGAAACATACAAATTAAAGGTTTCACAATCGATCCTGTAAATCGAGAAGTAATAGGATTTTGGGGTCCAGAATCTTCGGTAAGTTTTACGCTCTAATTTAACGCACACAGTATGCATATATTCTATATTTCTGACATTGTTTATTTAAGCATATTGTATTATATTTTTATACGAGTCACATATTATCTTTTTTTTTAGGTTTTCCTGAGGCCCCACGCCATCGCTATATGTCCAAACGGCACAGCTCTCTATGTTTCAGAGATCGGACCTAACAAAGTATGGAAGTTTGATCTAATACAAACTCTGTAACATAGGAGTTAAACGACTGATATAAGTAGCCGGAATCTGTCATCTAATGTCTACCTGATTCTAGAAGATACCAAAAATCGAGTTCTCGAAAGGCAACAAAATCAAATCCATTCCTCTTCCATTACCTCATTAGCGATACTGCTATGTACAAAGTATTTGGTAGCAGGTATAATCAATGTTTATGCTGATATTCATTATTGAAAACTAAGGTAAAAAATTATCTTGCTTTAGTTTTTGACAAGGATATCGTCTACTGAATACTTTGTACATCATACAAGCGGTATAGTTATCCAGGTAGTACAAGAATGTCCTTGATTAATCCAACAGATATCCAAAAAGAATATGGTGCATATCTCGTGGATGTATCCGACAAATGTGTCAGAAAAGCTGGATTTATTTAGGATAATCTTGAGGACGTCTTGCACTATCAAGACAGTAAAAGAATTATTAAATGTGAATCGCGTGTTAACTCATATTATATAACTCATAGTTAATTAATTTAGATATTAACATAAACCAATTTAAGGGTTTTATTTTAAAGATAACAAATGAACTAACAAAATTATTCAGATAAAACGAAGTTATAATATTTTTTTATTTTTGACCAGAAGTTTCGTGCTCAATGCATTTCAAATATTACATCTTAATATCCGCATTTTAGTTAGAAAACAGTTAAACATTATAAGTTAAACATTATAATTTTAATAAAAATAATCTCCATAGTTTATATATATATATATATATATATATATATATATATATATATATATATATATATATATATATATAT